TACTCAATTTCAAAAAGAGACAAAGTCAGAGTCTTGGGGTCCATTCCTACTGAGGATACTAAAAACAGTTTAAAATGAACCCTGGATGTACCTGTGGTTAAGTTCTCTGCACTCCTGCTTAAAACTTTCAGAAAATCTGGGCACACTGAAGTTTAGTGCATGAGACTTCAGAGACTGAGAATTCAATTTTGAATCCTGTCTGCTCCACGTATTATTATTGTGTTATAGGGAAAGTTCTTAGTGTCTTTGAAACTTTGGATTGTCATCTGAGTCCATTCCTAGCTGACACAGTGTCACTGAATGAAGATGAAAGAAATAATGGATGCCCCTCTATGTAATAAATATGTGACAGATGCATAAAGCAATTGCAAAATAAATTTAAGATATTTTATTAGTAATAATGATAAGGCTAATTCTCATGTCATATGACTTAAGTGTTTGGTGACCTGAAGTTATGGTTTCCCTACATCCCTGACACGACGTTTCATTTTTGTTTTTACAAGTACATGCGTAGTATATGGAGGGAAATGATGGAGTCTCATGCATTTCTGATCTCCCACCCCAAGGCTATAACTTGGCAGAGACGAGGCATCAAAAACAAAAAATCTCAGTTAAATATTGAATAGTCTCTTTCATTATTTATAGAAACAAAGAGGGCAATGTGAATTCCACACGTTTGACCATTCATGCCAGTGTTTTCACCCTTTTCTGGAAAGTCCCATAGGACTATAGACAAGATAAAATAGTGCTTGTTTGTGTCTATTTTGTTTATTTCTGCACTGATCTTTATTGTTTCCTTCCTTCTACCCACTTTGGGCTTTGTTTGTTGTTCTTTTCTAAGTTCCTCTAAGTGTAACATTAGATTGTTTGAGTTTCTTGTTTCTGGAGATAGGCTTGTAACTGCTATGAGTTACTCTCTTAGGGTTGCTTTCCCTGTGTCCCACAGATTTTGGGTTGTTGTGTTCTCATTTTCCACTTGTTTCAAGGTGTCTTGATTTCTTCCTTAATCTCATTGTTTACGCATTCATTGTTTAGTATCATGTTATTTAGCCTCCACGCCTTTGTGTTTTTCAGTGTTCTTCTTGTGATTTATTTGTAGTTTCATAGCATTATGGTTAGAGAAGATGCTTTCAGTTCTTAAATTTGTTGAGACTAGCTTTGTGTCCTTACATGTGGTCTGTCCTAGAAAACATTCCATGTGCATTTGAAAAGAATGTATATTCTGCTGCTTTGGGGTGAAAGGCTATGAAGATATCAATTAAATTCATCTGATCTAGTGTGTCATTTAAGGCTGCCATCTCCTGGTTGACTTTCTGTCTGGAAGATCTATGCATTGATCTTAATGGAGTGTTAAAATGCCCTACTATGACTGTATTACTGTCAATCTCTTCCTCTGTGTACATCAATATTTGGTTTACATATTTAGGTGCTCCTATGTTGGGCGCATAAATGTTTGCAAGGCTTATATAATCTTGTTAAATTGCTCCCTTTATCAATATTTAATGCCCTTTGTCTCTTACTATAGCCTTGGTTTTAAAGTCTATTTTATCAGATTTCAGAATTGCTACCCAGTTTTTTTCCTTTCCATTTGCATGAAATATATTTTTCATCCCTTTAGTGTTAGCCTGTCTGTATCTTTCATTCTGAGGTGGGTCTCTTGAAGACAGCATGCACATGGGTCTTTTTTTTTCTATCCATTCAGCTACCCTATGTCTTTTGATTGGAGCATTTAAGCCATTCACATTTAAAGTGATTATTGATTAGTACATATTTATTGCCATTTTATTTTTTAAACTATGTTCATCTGTTTTTCTTTCCCCTCTTTCTCCTCCTCCTCCTCCTTTTTTTTCTTCTTCTAGCAAGACCTTTCACATTTCTCATAATACTGGTTTGGTGGTAACAAACTCCTTTTGCTTTTTCTTGTCTGAGAAGCTCTTTATTTCTCCTTCAATTTTAAATGATAGACTTTTTGGGTAAAATAGCCTTGGTTGTAGGTGCTTGCTTGTCATCACTTTGAATATTTCATGCCAATCTCTTCTGGCCTGAAATGTTTCTGTTGAGAAATCAGCTGAAGGTCTTATGGGAGGTCCCTTGTAGGTAACTAACTGCCTTTCTCTTGCAGCTTTTAAGATTCTCTCTTTGTGTTTAACAATTGCCATTTTAATTGTNAGAAGCTCTTTATTTCTCCTTCAATTTTAAATGATAGACTTTTTGGGTAAAATAGCCTTGGTTGTAGGTGCTTGCTTGTCATCACTTTGAATATTTCATGCCAATTTCTTCTGGCCTGAAATGTTTCGGTTGAGAAATCAGCTGAAGGTCTTATGGGAGGTCCCTTGTAGGTAACTAACTGCCTTTCTCTTGCAGCTTTAGATTCTCTCTTTGTGTTTAACAATTGCCATTTTAATTGTGATGTGTCTTGGTGTGAGTCTCTTTGGGTTCATCTTGTTTGGGAATCTCTGGGCTTCCTGGATTTGTGTTTCTGTTTCCTTCACCAGGTTAGGAAAGTTTTCAAACATTATTACTTTAAATAGGATCTCAATTCCTTGCTTTCTCTCTTCTCCTTCTAGTACCCCTTTTATGTGGGTGTTATTACACTTCATGTTGTCTCAAAGGTCCCTTAAACTAGCCTCATTATTTAAAATTCTTTTTTCTTTTTGCTGCTCTGATTGTTTTTCTCTACTTTGTCTTCCAAATCACTTATTCGATCCTCTGCTTCATCCAACTTAATGTTTATTCCTTCCAGTGTATTCTTTATTTCAGATANCTACCCCTTTAATGTGGGTGTTGTTACACTTCATGTTGTCTCAACAGTCTCTTAAACTAGCCTCATTATTTAAAATTCTTTTTTCTTTTTGCTGCTCTGATTGGGTGTTTTTCTCTCATTTGTCTTCCAAATCACTTATTCGATCCTCTGCTTCATCCAACTTAATGTTTATTCCTTCCAGTGTATTCTTTATTTCAGATATAGCTTTCTTGATTTTTGACTGGTCTTTTTTTCTGTTTCTAAATCTCCGCCCCCCCACCCCCCATGCTGTTGAGCATAGTTATAATGATTACTTTGAACTCTATACCTGATAAATTGCTTGCCTCCATTTCATTGAGCTNGTTCTTTGGGAGAATTCTCTTTTTCATTCATTTGGGGTCTTTTCTTTATCTCCCCATTTTGGCTGCCTCTTTTTGTTTGTTTCTATGTATTAGGTACATATGCTATTACTCCCAGTCTTGATAGGGTGGCCTTATGTAGTAGGTGTTCTGTTGGACCCAGCTGCACAGTCTCCCTGAGCATGTGAGCTGGGTGCTCTAGGAATGCCCCTTGTGTGCATTATGTGAGCCCTCCAATTGTAATTGAGTCTTGATTGCTTTTGGCCATTTTTGTCTGGGATTGACCCTCAGGCTGACTGACTGTGAGGCTCAACCACCAATACAGTGTGGAGGTGCCGTGCAGGTGCTGATCACATGAAGCAGAATTTGCCTTGGCAGGGTTTTGTTTCTGCTGATATGACCCTGTGAATATGTTGTTTATGAAGCTTATTGGATCCTGCTCTGCTGTTGTCTGAAGCTGGCCACTGAGTATATTGGTTCTGGGCCTCTTTGGAGGGACTCCAGTGCAGGCCTCTGTCAGAAGCTGCCCGTAACTGGCCCTGGGCAGCCTGTTTGGAACTAGCAGTGATTCATAGCTTGTGGCTTCTTCTACTGGTCCCAGGTATGTGCAGAAAGCACCAAGCTGTTCACCAAGGCCAGCATTTACTAGTACCAGGCCTGGGGGTAGGTCAGCAAAAGTCTCAAAGCACCCAGAGATCTACCTCTGCCTGCAGGCTGCCTGTTAAGTATTCCTCAGCAGGGCATATACTCCATAGGGTGGGTGAGAGGCATTCCAGTGGATGGGGCTATTGCTTCTCCCCAGGCTGATGGAGGGGAGTGCTCTGCTCAAGAAAGCTGGCTTCTGAAATGTGGGGGAATGACTCAGTACAGGGATCCTGGTGGTTGACCCTTCAGCTCTCTTCCCAGAGCCATCAACCCCAGACTCTTCTCATGAGGCTCTAGTCTGCTCTACCCTCCTTCCACCAGAGCTCAGGTTGAGTGGCTGAGAATAAAATTGTGTGCCTTCGCCCTTCAAGAGTGTGCCCTTGTTTCTATGCCATCTCTCCCTGGCAGATAGAAACCCCACTGCTTTTCACAGGTGGATGTTATGTGGGTGCCTTTCCCAGTTCTGGTGTTCTAGGCTTGGGAGCCCATTTGGGGTTTAGATCCCACACTTCTGAGGAGGAACCACCCCACAGCTGAATTATTTCTTTGGAATTTCAGCTGCCATCCTTGAGAGCTAGGCCAGCCCTGTCATGTGTCCACACTTCCTGCCAGTCTTGATAGGGCTTCTTCTGTATGTATGTCGTTATAAAGCTTCTCTCCAGTTAGTCTTCAGTTGGATATTCAGGATGATTTTCTAAAAATAATTTAGTTGTAATTCCAGTTTGGTCCTGTGAGGAGGTTAGTGTAGTTTCCACTTAATCTGCTGCCATCTTGGTTGAAGGGTATTTCTTATTCTATATATATTTTTTAAAGATGTAGGCTGGGGGTGAGAGGGGTGGGAAGGGACTGAGCAAAAAGAGAAACAAAATAGAACTATGGGCATGGACAACAGTGTGGTGATTGCCAGAGTGGAGGAGGATGGGTGGAAGTGGAAGAGGGCAAAGGGGGAGAACAGGGGATAGAAAAAATAAAATTAAAAAAAGAAAGAAGTAGGCTGTGTTTTCCTGTGAGTTTGGATTTATTATCTCTAATGTCCTTGCTCCTCTGATACTCTTCAGTTGAGTTTCTGGTAAGTAAAGTGTGTATGGAAAGAGGTGAATAACACAGAAACCAATAAAGAAACAGTTCTAATTAGATAGGACTTGTCATACTGAGAAATATTGCTAAAGGTACTGGGGTGTATGACCTCACAAGTGCATGGCCTGAATAGAAAATACTGACAGAGTGCAGTGTGCCCATTTACTTAATTCCTTTTTCCCTACCCTCTTTTCTTTCTCAAAAGGTGTCCTGGATACATAGAACTACAAAATCTAACACGTGTCTCAGAATTCTTCCTCGCGGGCCTCTCAGATGATCTGGAACTGCAGCCTTTCCTCTTCGGGCTCTTCTTGTCCCTGTACCTGGTCACTGTGTTGGGGAACCTGCTCATCATCCTGACTGTCAGCTCTGACTCCCACCTCCACACCCCCATGTACTTCTTCCTCGCCAACCTTTCTTTGGCTGACATGTGTTTCACCTCCACCAGCGTCCCAAAGATGATTGTGGACATCCAGACTCAAAGCAGAGCCATCTCCTATTTTGGCTGCCTGACACAGATGTCATTTTATATGCTTTTTGGATGTTTGGATAGTCTCCTCCTGACTGCGATGGCCTATGACCGGTTTGTGGCCATCTGTCACCCTCTGCACTACTCAGTCATCATGAGCCCTCGCCTCTGCTGCTTCTTTGTCTTGGTGTCATTTTTCATCAGCCTTTTGGACTCCCAGCTGTACTATTGGATTGTGGAACAACTTACCTGCTTCAAGGATATAAACATTTCTAATTTTTTCTGTAATCCTTCTCAACTCTTTCATCTTGCCTGTTGTGACAGCTTCACCAATAACATAGTCATGTATTTTGCTGGTGTCATCTTTGGTGGTGTTCCACTCTCTGGGATCCTTTTCTCTTACTATAAAATTGTTTCCTCCATTCTGAGAGTTCCATCAACAGGTGGGAAGTATAAAGCCTTCTCCACCTGTGGTTCTCACCTGTCAGTTGTCTGCTTATTTTATGGAACAGCCATTGGAGTTTACTTTGGGTCAGTGTTGTTCCCTTCCCCCAGGAAGGATGTGGTGGCCTCAGTCATGTATACCGTAGTCGTCCCCATGCTGAACCCATTCATTTACAGTCTGAGGAACAGGGACATTAAGTGTGCCCTATGGAGGCTCTACAGCAGAGGGGTCTCATCTTAGTATCTGTGGAATCCTTTCTGCAGTGTAGCTGGAAAAACTAGTGAAACCAAACTTGGAGACCTGTGAATACTGTTTCCTTGGTCACATTCTTTTTAGTCTCATGGTTTTTGTTCCTCTGTGCTTCACCTATGAACTTTGCTTCTTTTGATTTGTCCTAAATTGAATTGGCAGAGTATCCTGAGATTCTTTGTACATCACAGTAAATGCATGGGAGGTTCTCCTCATTGACTCTGTATGCATGTGAAATGCACAATTCTCTTAGTATATCCTTAAACTTTACATCTTCCCCATAGTTTCGAGTATTTTCCATACAAACTTTGCATCTGTCAAATCTATTTATTCAGGTAATTTCTGAGGATGCAGTTTACTGGTTTTCAATTGTGAATTTTTTTGGAATGCCCTGGAGAACTTTATAAATACTGATGACTGGGTTTGTTGGAGGAGTTCATCCAGAAGATGTGACTGCCAGTGGGCCCAAGAGCTGGACCTGGGGAATCAGAGACTCCTCACCCTCACCCTTGTCCTTGGAATGTTCATTTCACTTGCCTACCCTGAGCTAGAAGCTGGCCCAAGGATATACCCTTGAGCTAGTTATGTGTGGTTGAGACCATCTGGATGTTATACATGGCTGAACACAGATAAGGCCTTTATTATATATAAACTTTTAAGATTTGGTGGGGAGGTGTGTAGTTCTATTTGTCTTGTGGTTTCTGAGACAAGCATTGTATGTAAACTCTCTGGCTTATGAAAACTGCCACCTACAAACCTGGAGTGAGCTGCTTCTTTCTTTGGTCTCTCCTTGCCTTCTGTGCATGTGACAGTTCAAATTTCACTGGGAAGTTCCTTAGATTGCGAACCAATGGGACCTCCCTTGTCAAATATTAGTTGACCGTGTATGCAGTTGTTTATTTCTTGATTCTGTACCATTGGTCTCTATGTCCGTTTTTACTCCAGTCCTACATCCTGTTGTGGCTGACCTTGGTAGTCCTTGCTTTCTTCCTTGCTTTTAGCTGTGTCTTTATGTGGACGCTTTGCCATTCTCTGGGTGGGGTGGAAATGAAACAGGTCCTTCCTCTGGGGCACTACAAGGCTGGGGAAGCTGGTTGCTCACTGTGCTCTCCCTTCTCCCACAAGGTTACCCACTCCTCTAGCTGGGAGCTCCCTGTCGTTGCTGAGCAGCACTGGCCTGGGTGATGGCACGATGCGGACACAGCGAGGCTGCTCTTCGTTTCCTTCTGTGGGGCTATTCTCAGGTGTTTTGTTCCACTGTGTTGCTGAAGTTTCTTACGTGGACTCCTGAGCTCTCCCAGAGCTGTTTTTGTTCATGGATCTAATTGTTGATCTTTGTGGGGGAACAAAGGCTGGTGTCTCCTACTTCACCACCCTGGTTTTGCCACATTTTCTCCCTATCAGTTAATGACAGACCACTGTCTAAATTGCTCACCCAGAGCGCTCTGAGCCAGGAGGACTGCATGAGCAGGTTGGGGGAGATGCAAAGTACCATCATTCCCACACTCATTTTATCAACAAGAAAAAAACTGAATCAGGCCCCAAGCACAGTTATGTAAATGTTAGGATCTGTGAACACAAAATAAGTAAAGATAATACATCCTGGCCCTGGTTGGTGTGGTTCAGTGGTTAGAGTGTTGGCCCACGCGCTGAAGGGTTATGGGTTCGGTTCCCCAAAGGCATGTACCTTGGTTGCAGGTTTGATCCCCAGCCCCAGTTGGTGCACATGCAGGAGGCAACCAAATGATGCGTCTCACTCAGATCTCCCTCCCGCCTCTCTCTCCCTCCCCTCTTCCCTTTCACTCTCTCTAAAAATCAATGGAAAAAATATTCTTGGGTGAAGATTAACAAACAAATAAAAAAATACATCCCAGAAAAGATGAGCTCTTTTCAATGAAAGATATCAGCAGACACTGGGGTCATTTGTTGAATCTGGGCATAGAATTGGTGCAGATTGGTATGAAGTCAGTGGAGGAATCCTGGTGATGGAAGAGAAACCATGCTGGCTTTTTTGAGCTACATGTCCTGAAGGAACATGATGGGGTCTGCAGAAACACTAAATCAGAGGCATTTTCTACTCATATGCCAGTTTATCTGCAGGGAAATATGCTGAGAACATTGTGGTGTGATGGGTTGTGGACTATGTTGGGTAGCAGAGACATCTCTCCAGTATAGAGGGTGAAGCCTGCAAGATGGGGGGGGGGGGCAGATTCTTATATGGTCCCGATTACCTCCACTTCTGTATTCATGCTGTTGTGGAAACCCATCCTCTTGAGTGTGTCTTGGGCCTACTTACTGGCTTCCATACAATATAACATGGCAAAACTGATGAGATGTCACTTCCGATATTAGGAAACACAAAGATTTTATATTCCTGGCCCTTGTCTTTCTGTCACTTGTCCTAATTGGAGTCAACAGCCATGTGTGAATTTCCCTGTGAGAGGCCCATGTGGCAGGGAACTGAGGAAGGCCTGTGGCCAAGAGCCCACGAGGAAATCCATCCTTCCAAAAGTGAGTGGGTTTGGAAACACGTCTCTTCCTAGTCAAATTTTGAGGGGACTGCAGCCCTAGCTAACACTTTGATTGCACTCTTGTCGGGTACCCTGTTTTATTTAAGATAAGTAGCAAGTTATAAAAAGTTTATGGAAGTCAGTGGTTTTCTAGTATACCAACAAACATAAATGAAAGAGAAAAACCAGAGGTTGGACTGCCATTTAAATAAGCAAAAAAACCAAAACAATCCTAGCTCTACTTTGGGTAGTGAACACACAATATAATATACAGATGATGTATTATAGAATTGTATACCTGAAACCTGTATAATTTTATTAACCAAGCCCCCCCCAATAAATTCAATAAAAACAGAAAAAATAATAAGTGAAAAAAGAGATAGAAAATGTACAGTGCTGCAAACAGCATCTTGCACACAGTAAACCCTCAATAGACAATATTTATGTCCAAAAAAAACCCCCACAAACAAACCTAAAAAGAAGAACTAGAAAGCTCCTTGTAGAGATAGAAATCTTAACTTAAAAAATGGGAATAGTTTCAGATTCTTGCTAGAGAAGGCCTAATTCTCCCAAATTTACATGATTAATACAATAAATTTGTAGATGTAAAAGTCAAAAAGTCCTACATTGAAAATAAAGAGTCTGCATTTTATGATAAGATTCTTGAAATTGGAAGTCAGAAGCCAAGTATATAAATGAGCTTTCTCCTGAGAAGAGGAGAGTCCCAGACCCTTCTAAGTACATTTATTGTTTTCTTTTTCTCTTCTGTTAATATTGGGAAGTCCTCAGAGATTAGGAAAATGTGGACCAATTTTGCTAATTATGAGCTCTGTGCATTGAGCTCTCAAGGTCATGCTGGAGTAAATAATTAGCCAGTGCTTTCAGTCCATCAGGCTGCCAGTCCCAGTTAAGAGCCATACCTGTGGCTCTTCCTCCCTGCATTGAGACCTACATCAGGTGACCCATGCCTGAGCCTGTCTTCACACTAGTCCTGAGGACAGAGCCTCAGCCCTCATCATTACCAGGCAGTGGACCCAAACTCCCAGGTCATGACTCAGCAGGGATACAGCACAAACCAGTGAGTGCCAAGGGCGACGGTGGGTGGAGGAGGAACTGTGGGAAACTTGTTTCCTTGTTATCAAGGCAGTGGGACAGCTGAGGTAGGCAGATGGGAGGCATCGACAGGCCAGGCTTCAGATGAGAGGCCTATGAAGCTTATGTTATTTTTCCTGTTGGGGGTTTCAAAACTCCCACTGAGACTTCTGTCCTCCACTACCATTCCTAGCCTCCAAAGTCCCTGCCCTTACCAGAGCAGGAAACAATTCTCTTCATCTCGTCCTCACTCCCAAATAATCCTGAATGTTGTGGTTAGGATCGCGATGGTGGGGAGGAGAGTGACCATAGTATCACCAAACTTTATTGAGGGTTTCTTTGTGTCAGAATCAAAGCTATGTGCTATGTAGCTTTAATTTTTACATGCACAATACATCCAAATCCAGGTGTACACATTATTGCTATTTTAGAGCTGGGGAAAGGAGCACAGTATTCTTATTTAATTTGGACCAAGGTTCTGGGTAAAAAGGGAGGAGCCAGGTTTGGATCTGAGCAGTGAGACTCTATTCACAGGACCAGGGTGCAGGACAATACTGAGCATTTTTCCATATGTCTCTTGGCCATCTATATGTCCTCTGTGGAGAAGTGTCTTTTCAGGTCCTTTAACCCATTTTTAATTGGATTGTTTATTCTTTTTGTGTTAAGTTGTATGAATTCTTTATAAATTTTCTATATTAATCATTATCAGATCATCTGAGAAGCCCAGAAGGAGGAATGTGTCATCAGATGTGTCATCAGAGAATATGTTCTCCCATTCAGTGGGCCGTCTTTTTGTTTTGTTGATGGTTTTCTTTTTAGTTTGAGTATTATTAAGTATAGCGACCATGCTGTACAGTACATGCCATGCCATTTCTTTTATAAATGGAGAAGCCAGGCTTTCTTATCAGCTAGCCCAGATGTGAGCAGAAGGGGAAGAGAGAGAGGAGTGGTTTAAAAGCAATTAGTAGCCAAGCATCGCACACAAAAATGGACTCAGACACTTTACTACAGAGCTCTTATAGTGTGTTTATAAATAGTACAAACGAAGGGAATTAATTGCACTGCATTTGGATAAAATAAAGTACATTTGACTGCTTTTTAGTATCCTTGAACTAAGGACACTAATAAAGAACTTTTTTTGTTGTTCTAAAAGAGAGGATAGTTCTCATTCTTTTTCCTTCCCTCACAGGATGGTAGTGATATGTTATCGTGTTTATGGATTTATAAATCTCTAAATAACATTATTTCTCTAATTTCTTCAGCCCTTTCTTTCAAAGGGGATGCATGTAGTAACAGGGTAATGGAGCAAAATGCAATATGAAAAGATTTCTAAGAAGAATGTCATAACTGAGAAATATCACTAAAGGGGTATGGTCCTTGAGAGTGAATACTTTAGTTTTGAATTGCTTAAAGTCAAAATATAGACACACTGATGTGCTTGTTTCCTTTTACCAACTCTCATGTAATTTCCAAAGGTGTCTCTGCTATGTGGAACCTCAGAATCTAACAGGGGCATTGGAATTCCTCCTTCTGGGCTTCTCAGATGATCCGGAACTGCAGCCTCTCACTTTTAGCCTGTTCCTGTCCCTGTTCCTGGTCACTGTCCTGGGGAACACGCTCATCATCCTGGCCGTCAGCTCTGACTCCCAGCTGCACACCCCCATGTACTTCTTCCTCTCCAGCCTGTCCATGGCTGACATTGGCTTTACTTCTACCACTGTCCCAAAGGTGATTTTGGACGTTCAGACTCATAGCGGAGTCATCTCCTATGCTAGCTGCCTGACTCAGTTGTCCTTCTTTAATTTTTTTGGATGTTTGGACAGTGCACTCCTCACTGTGATGGCCTATGATCGGTTTGTGGCTATTTGTTGCCCCCTGCACTACCCGGTCATCATGAACTCCCGCCTCTGTAGCCGGCTGGTTCTGGTGTCATTTTTGATCAGCCTTTTGGACTCCCAACTGCACTGCTTGATGATATCACAGCTTTCCTTTTGCACAAACATGGAAGTTCCTCATTTCTTCTGTGACCCTCCTCAACTCCTCAAGCTTGCTTGTAATGATACCTCTACGAATCAAATATTATTCTATTTTATTGGGGCCATCTTTGGTGGTATTCCAGTCTCAGGTATCTTCTTCTCTTACTATAAAATTGTTTCCTCCATTCTGAGAATCTCATCGTCGAGTGGAAAGTATAAAGCCTTTTCCACCTGTGGTTCTCACCTGTCAGTTGTTTGTTTATTTTATGGAACAGGCCTGGGGGTGTACCTCAGCTCTGCTGTCTCTCATTTTCCCAGGAAGGGTGCAGGGGCCTCAGTGGTGTATGCTGTGGTCACCCCTATGCTGAACCCTTTCATCTACAGTCTGCGGAACAGGGACATCAAGAGGGCCTTGCAGAGGCTACTCAACAGAAGAGCCTAGTCTCAATACTTGGACCATTATAGGGTGTTTTTGTTATTTATTTATTTATTAATTTATTATTTATTTATTTATTTATTTATTTATTTATTTATTTATTTACTTATTCATTTATTTATTATTACTATTGTCTGTGAATTAGAAATGACTGCAAAATAAAACATCTGGAGTTGGCACACATGCATTTTTGGTCACACAATTTTGGTAGCTCATGGCTTTCATTCCTCTTAATCTATCATATCTGAAAATTGCTTATTTTGGTACATCTTTGTACCAAAGGGATTAAGGGGGTATTCTGGAATCCTATGTATGTCAAAATCACTACACACATGAATCTTATTACAACTATGGAATCGTCTGTATTTGTCATTTATGACCCAGGCACCCTGTAGAAATTCAAAACTCTGTTTTAATGTGTATATGTATGTGTGTGTATATGGTTCTCAACCTTTTTCACTGTCCTTGTCTATTTTTCATAAAACTTTGGCTTCAATCAAATCTATTAGTGCAGGTGTGTGAGAGAATGACCCTCAATCTAGGCTTCCTATTGGAAGCATCTAATAAGCTCTAACAATCTTCATTCCTGAGTCCCATCACCATACATTAAGATCTCATTGGATTGGAGAGTGCAGAGAGCATAATGTTTTTAACAGCACCCCAAGTGGGTTTAATGTGTAGCCGTGGTGGAGAATTACTGAATTTTGTCAGACCTTTTTTCAGAAACGACTTGAGTGTCTTGGGCTCTTTACTGTTCGTGATCAGATCCTGACAATAGTAAAGTGATCAGAGCTCACAAAGCAGAAGATCTGAAAGAGTTTGGCTTAGTAATAGCCAATGTGATTTCCTCCCTTATATTCCTGGTAATTTTTTTTTTCGCATATCTTATCCCTCCACGCTCTACAGGTGTCTCTCTGAACTATATATTAAACTACAGTTTTTCTGATTCAAACTTATGCTTCTATACTTTCAGTTGTGATGCTGTGGTGTGGCCTCTGATTTTCCACCTGGCTTCTCTTTAGGTTCTTCCAGTAATGGTCAGTAAAGGGCCCATGTACCAACATTCCTTCTCTCCCCTTAGCCTATGTGGTTGTCAGTACATTCTGCAGGTATGACACTGTATCACCATATATTTTCATTTCTGTCTTTCACCTTTCAAAAACTATTTAATCATACCTATATAAAATTATCTTCATTAAAAATGACTAGTGTGGTTTCTCTCCTTGATTGAACCCTCACAGATAAATCATAATATGGGGAGTAAAGTTATGGTGTGAGGTATGCTTTGGAAGAATGCAAAGTGAGCTCAAGACAAAAAGGTGATTGCAATGATGTGTCTGGGTCAAGGGCATACAATTGAGGTTTAAGGTAGTGGTGTGATATTTCCAGTGGCTGTGTGATTCTGTTTCTGCCTCTAGATTGTTAAGTCTCCCAAGTCATTATGAGTAAACTGAACTCTATCTTCATTTTCATTACTCAGGGATAGCAAAGGACCATGACCTTAGCAAAGGGGAAGTCTTCCTTTCACTAGTAACTGCCTCATTAGGATTCTACTTTGTAACCATGCTTCCTTCTCTTTTATCATGGTCTATCTGTCCTTGACCTCCTACTGTTTTAGGCTGCATACTCAGGTACCTTTGTACATAGCAATCATTTCTTAAGAGATGATATACATATTTTCTGAGGCAGAAGTCTGGTCTTTCTGAAAAGTTGTCCAATAACTTGTTTAATTTACTCTGCCTTTAACCACTAAACTAAATAGCCTACGAACTTCACTAACAATGAATCGAGTATCTGATTGGCTCAGTTTAACACTACATTTTTCCTCCTGCCTTAGAATTCTAAAATGTGCCCATACTCACATCTCTTCTCCACTTCTCTATACTCCTGCCATTTTGTCATATGGGCTCCCTAGAGTTTCCCTCTTCCATTTAGGCACACACACATAACTGTCATACTTTATTCCATATACAACTTAACTGGGCAAGTATTCAAGTTTTCTTCATATCAGTTAAATCCATCTCTGAGCTCCTCAGACAGAGAATTCTGAGCTAGGAAGACTGCAAAGATTAGATTGGGTTGTTACAAATCATGATTCCCTACATCCCACTTTCTCTCACTATATAAGCCAAAGTAACATTTTAAGACTTCAAGAGTTAAAATACAAAGAATATAGAGAAAATATATTTGGAGAGAGATTAGTCTTTATTGGTGGGGCAAATCAGAAGCCTCTAGAGACACATGTTGAATTAGTCCTGAAATGGCTGTGGGTTCTCCTGGCAAATATGGAAGGACTCTGTTGGTGTAAGAGAAACCAGGGAGACTTCTTTTCATGACATGGCCAGAAGCAGCATTGTGGGGTCTGCAGAAATACCTAACACAGAGCAAGATTTTCCACGTGCTAGTTCATCTTACTGTTAGACTACGCTTTCCTATTCAACACTCGAATTTGATTCTTCTAACTACTGTATTCTTTATTTTTATGTTTTTATCTTTTTAGTCCACTTGTGCTTCCCACAACTTCAGTTGAATTCACATAATCCTGGTAGGAGGTTTCTGAAAGTCTGCCGTTGGTATTTTAATTATATAAACATGCTGCATGGAGATCAAAGGAAGTAATATACATGCTGTCCTTGGTGGTGATCAAAGGTCCGTGTGATGACCGCCCTGATATAACTGGGTTATTCACAAACTAGAGCCCCGTAAGGCAGGATTACTGTGATGATAATAATAACAGTTCATATTACAGGACTCCTACTAAGAACATCACATGCACTATTTGATTTGCATCACAACCCTATGTTGTTAGGGAACGGGGTAGAGAATAGTATTATGCCTAATTTAGAGGTAAAGTTACTGGATCTATTTAAATAGGTCAGATAAGGGATTTGGGGAAGAAGGTCCCAAGAACTGTGATGGGGTTAAGACCTAACCCTGGTTTCAAGCTAACATGTTAGCCTGACGCATGTCATGGATGCCAGCAGAAGGCACAAGACTCCTGGGTCAGAGACAAAGGACTCTGTTACTCCCACGCTGCATGAGCTTCATGTCTGCATCAGTTTCCCATTCTCTCCAAGCCCATGGGAGTGAAACAAAACAGGCTCATGTAGACACTGGGCATGAAGTGTATTTCTCACAGCTGAGGAACCTCAGGCTTAGGAAACCACAGCTTTTAAAGGCCACCAACTTACCTGTTCAACTTTTGGCCCTGGAAGCAGACATTATCTTTCATATCTTGGGCAACAGACAAATTTGCTCTCTGCTCTGTAGAGAAACACTATTCATATCTTCCCAGACTGTTCACTATATAAACACCGAGAAAAGATGTCTGGAAAAAAAGTCGTCAGTGCCTCTGCTCATAAGATGTGCAGAACTGTCTTCCAATAGACAGCTGTGGTGGCCGCCAATCTGCGAATCTCTCCTTAAAAACAGACTGAGTAATTAGATATCAAAACTAAAATCCCCTGGAAACATTTGCCCCAAAACTAGGTGACAACGATCTTCACAAACCCAAACTATAAGTGAACAAGGGCAAACCACCCAAAACAAAAACCTGCAGGAAGCAGCAGCAGCAGGAACGAGGCAGCATTTGATGGACACGAGGAACAGAAGACATGCAAAATGTCTAACTGGCATCCACTGGAATGGTATCTGAAACTGGGAGGACTTTTGTGCACCCCAATATCCAGGAAGTACGAGGAAGGATGAAAAAGCCTAGTGCAGTGTGGCCCCTGTGACTTCTCAAAACTAGCTCAGCAGGGCTTTATTCCCAGACAGCACTTCACTGAGAGGCAGCTTGAACAGAATCAAAATTGAGCTGCACAGAGTCAGCAGAGGTAAGGAAAGAGATCTATACCTGTGCCGTCCAAAGTGGTGGCATGTGAGAATAAATAGCTTGGATAGGACCTTATCCTAACCTCAATTTTTAAAAAAAAAAAACCTGCAAAATTATAATTATTATTGACCCTATTTTACAATGAAGAAAAGGAGATTTTGAGAGGCTGGGTAAGTGATCCAAAGCTTACAGAGGTAGTTAAGACTTAGATCACAGGTTAAGATTCAAGACAGGGAACATGGACTCCACTCTCATGAGAGGAATATCACAGAATTTGGGAGCCATGTTTTAAAACTGCCACAGTTGGAGTCTATATGATTTTACAGAGAGAGCTGCATGGAGAATCACAGTGTGCCCAAGCAGCTCTTTAATTGGTAAGATGTAGAAGGCCACAGAAAGAAAAGAAGAGGGTGTTAAGTCTTTCATCTGTTCTACAAGGCAGTCACCAGGTTTACTGACTTTATCTTCTATCCGTGGAGCATTTGGCATTCCATGGTCCTGGACATTATGTTCCCCCTGTGGCTCACCCAAATCTGCACCCCTTCTCTACCAGTGTCCCTGCAGTTGTCCCCAAGGCTACACCCAAGGCCACAAGGGTTGGCTTCATTCTAGCCCCAAACAGGCATCCATTATCCACCCCCCAACTGAAGGTCCTGACCATCCTAGGGCATTGCATCAGAGAAAGAGACAATCTCTACAACTCAAGGCAGCCAATTCCCTCTTCTCTCTGCCCATTTCTAAGAGATCAAACTCTTGGGGAGAGACAAGAAACAGATCATTCCTCAGTGTCAATGGGATATTATTCAACCTTATTAAAGGAATGAAATTCTGATACATGTGCAGCTTGGTTGAAACTTGAAAATATGATGCTAAGTGAGATAAGCCAGACACAAAAGGATAAGTATTCTATGAGTTCACTTATATGAGATACCTAAAATAGGCAAATTCATAGAGACAGAATATAGAATAGAGGTTTCTCTGGGCTGGGGGCGGGGGGAATGGGGAGTTGTTGTTTAATGGGTATAGAGCTTCTGTTTGGGATGATGAAAAAGGTCTGGAAATGGATAGTGGTGATGGTTGCATGACATGGTTAGTATACTTAATGCCGCAAAACCGTATATTTAAAAATGGTTAAAATGGCATTTATTTCCATTATAAAAATAAAAGAAAGTAAAACTATCACAATTTTCTTTTAAAAGTAGATTGTCAGTCTCTCCCCCTGGAGATGTTGACTAGATGAGTCTAGGATAAGTATCAGTCTGGGAAGTTATATATTAACAAGAGCCTCAGTTGATAGTTTGGATAAAGCTAAAATTATGAAACATTGTCCCAGGGAAATGGGTCTCAATGGATTGTCATAGAGACCAGCAAAATTCGGAACTTGTGAAAATTCCTAATTGTCAGATCGAAACTCAGGTCTACCAAGAGAGAAATTGGGGAATGGGGCTCTGTCATCTGTTCTAACAAATCCTCATGGTCATCTTGGTGCAGGCTTAAGGTTGAGAACCATTATCCTTGTGAATCTTGGGATCCTTTGCCATTCAACCATTTATCCAATGAGGAAACTACAAGTCCAAAAATGATGACACTTCTTCCCAAGAGGAGATCCAAGGAAGGCTAGAGTGATTCTTTCCAGAGAAAAAGGATCCAAATGAAAACAAATCACAGCTGGTCCCACTATTTGTCTCCCAGGGATAAGGAATTGGCAAGACAGCTCTTCCTTTGTGACCCCTGCCCCTGAGGAGTCAACCTGATGAGGGAATCAAAGATCCATTGATCAATTTGTCTAACAAGCTTCAGAGGGGGTTCTGCCCCCAGGGCCACAAAACCTGTGGCATATCAGCTTATAGTCACCAAGGCTCTCATGAGCCAGACTCAGGACACTCATGCCTTCTCCAGGAGAAATCAGCCAGTCCCTATACCACATGCCTGGCTCTGTATCCCTGCTCTTTCAGTGGACAGACCTTCATTCTTCATCACCTCCTTCCATGAAAGAACAAGATTCAGGGGAGTTGGCCCCTGTGGTGGGTCCACATTGCCAAGCTTCCAGAGCCCAATAAGTGTTGTAGGAAAAAGGGGAAAGAGGTGCCTGAGAGAATAAGGTATTGACTATAGTGAAGCACAGGGCAGGGGAAACCCAGTGCTGTCTATGGAGAATGAGCTCTAGAGGTTACTTGCTTGGGAGGGTGCACGGCTTGACTCCTTGTTTGAACTTGCCATTGAGTGATGAGCTTTTACTTTAGTTAAGTCATTTGATTAGATGGTAGATGGAAATGATGGGAAGGGGGAGAAAGGGGCTAACCCCCAGTGCACTCTGACACCATAGCACTTCCCAGAAACACACTATGTAGTGGTACAGTTGCCAGTCTTTGGTGTACAGATGGGTGCCCCGGGTGCTGATAGAGATGTAATCTCTTCTTGATCTCTTATTGTTTCTTCTTGTTACCTGGCCCAAAAGAGCTCCAGAGCCTCTATCTTCACTTAGCCTAGAAGAATCTTCCTTAATTTGTCTTTGCCACCCTTCTTTACTTGGGAACATCTCCTCAAATCAGCAGAGGCCATGGAAGGAATTTTGATACTATCCTCCACTGTGCTCATGAAATACACTGAGTCCTCCCTTAATTTCCTCAACAGGTTCCTGGAACTGCAGAGAAGCAGCATATAACAAGACCAATATGGCCATAGATTAACCTAATTGCTATAAACAAGAGTTAAGTTCCTATGGCATCCCAACAGTTATAACAAAACAACATTGAATGAAACAATGTTATTTGAGGACCTGCTGTACTTGTAAGAAGAGAGAGAGAAATTGCACCAGGATGTTTGCATATCCGCCCAAAACCATGAGGATGAGACATGAGTGATGCTTATAGCAGCCCTGGGAGGATGGAGAGAGGGGGCATTTGCCAGTGTCTGTCCGTCTCCTGACTTTCTCCTTTCCGGGTCCTGGAGGTTCTGTAACCAGAGGTAAAAGAATGTGTGTCTTTATTCACTCTCCTGTTGCTGTCTCCTGGAAGTGGATCTTCAAGTGTTTGAGGAGAGAGCACACAGGAGGCAGTATCTCCTCTTACAGGGATGGAGAGTATTTAGCAGTTTCATACACAAGTAAAAGGACTGAGACTATGAATGTGGGGGGACTTCCAGGAAGGGAATTGGAAGATGATGAATGTCCTCATTTATAATCCCAGAAAAATAGCTGTGTGACCATTAACCCTTTGTGACATGTTTTTTGTACACTTGTCATTTCCCTGTTTAGTTTCTCAGTTATCTTCTGTTTGTGCCTCTGGATAATTATGACAGAAAGTCGGGAATGTATATGTAGGTACTTCAGGCAAAGGCTGTGGAAAAGCAGTTGCTGATGCTGCTATGGGCAAAGAGCCCAGGTGAGATGCAAGAACAAGAGAAATAGGCGAAATTATCGGGACCCGGTAGGGCCAACATTGGCAATGAGTGTTGTCCAGGATTGAGAAGAGGACCTGGCTAATGAATAAGCAGAAACTTTATGTTCCCTTTCTGCCTCCCTTTCTATTTTTTCTCCATCAACATCTTATCGTCCTCTCTCCTTATAGAAACCTTTTTGAGGGTAAGAAGTGCTAAGGTTTATGGAATAATGGACATGCAGGGACTATATGATGAGCTGCAGCAATGGGAAAATATTGGTTTGTAGGCTCATCCATTTATTAATTCTGCCACCAAACCAATATGGAGAGTCCCCTTTGCCCTAAGAACTCAGCTAGTATGGAGAAGGAGGCAGTTGGGAATTACCTAAGCAGGTGAGAGCCTGTGCCACGTATATGGCAACGGGTAGGAATCAAGAGAAGCAAGCGGAGGGAGAAGGTCTTGAAAAGTTGCAGAGACATAAGGGAGTATCGCCCATCTGGGCAAAGGAAAGCTTTTCAGAATGGTTGGAATTTAGGATAAAAGTTGAGAAGTGGTGAGAAAGAAGGCTGGAGGGTCAGTGTGAAGCCCCAACACACCAAGGAGTTTGTATGTTTTCAGAAGGTGGCACAAAGATGTAGGAAAATACTTACAACAAGGCAAAATGGAACACTGAAGATCCTTGTACGGTTTTATGCTGTTTTTCCCTGGTTATAGAGCTCATTCCTCTGTGTTTAGTTACAGGACCCTTAGGATCTGGAGTGAAGAGAACCAGAGGGTAGGTGGGCTCTGGATGAGTGCCCCCACACTCCCAGTCCCATTCTAAGCATCACCATCATGTGCATGCTAAATATGACTCTCATCCTTTCAGGCTCATATATAAAAATCCTGGTGCAATTTCTCTCTTCCCCCAGTATTTAATGAACAGTGTAGATGACATGACTCGAAATTCTGTTTGTGACCTTTTGCAGTAGCATCTTCAGGTACTAAAATGGTTTAAGCCACAAAATCCACTCTTTCCTTGGACATTTTAACCAATCGCTTCACTTCACAGATAAAGGGTATTTTGCCAAGCAACGAATGTCCAGGAAGCATCTGGCCCTGTTCCTACAAGGTGCGACTGGTCCCTGGTACATTAAGCCTTAAGCATTTATGAATGTGGTTTATTATTTGGTGAAAATACTTTCTTTTTCTTTCTTTTTTCTTTTCCTTGAGAAGCAGACCTACATTCTACTCATCCTCAATACTCTGTCCAGATATGTGAGATACCCTCTCAAATTTTCTCACCTCTGAGACACGGTTATCTGACTCTGTCCTGAGTCCCAGGCAAGGCAGGCAACCCAGATCAAGTCACTGACCTCCACCGGACCTCATGTTCCACATTGGTGTTAGTGCAAGTACAACCATTTCTTCTCTAAGTTCCAAGTTGCTCTTAGCTGTTTAGAGGTAATACTAAGCCAGAGAGGAAGAAGATGGATGAGTGTCTCAAGGGTTGATCGACATTACAAAATGATGCCTGTAACAAGTAAGAGAATATAGAATTCCTAAATTTTGTAGTTAAGGCTCTTATGTCCAGTCATTTACTTTAAGAAATTTAAAAAGTAGAAATAATCTAGAATCTCTTTCCCATTGTTTTCCTTCCTCCATCATCTAGCCAATGTGTCAGCAACATGGAACCAGGAAATCAAACAAGTGTTTCAGAGTTTTTACTTCTGGGATTTTCCCAAGACTCAGAGCATCTGCCCATCCTATTTGCGCTGTTCCTCTCCATATACCTGGTCACCGTACTTGGGAACCTGCTCATCATTGTGGCCATCAGCTCTGACTCCCGCCTCCACACCCCCATGTACTTCTTCCTGTCCAACCTGTCCTTTGTTGACATCTGCTTCACCTCCACCACCGTCCCGAAAGCGCTGGTGAACATCCAGACACAGAGCAAAGCCATCACCTATGCAGGCTGCATCGCCCAGGTGTACTTTTTCCTGGTTTTTGGAGGTATGGACACTTTTCTCCTCACCGTGATGGCCTATGACCGGTTTGTGGCCATCTGTCACCCCTTGCACTACCCAGTCATCATGAACCCCCGCCTCTGTGGCCTCCTGGTTCTCGTGTCCTGGTCTATCAGCTTAACATACTCCCTGATCCAGAGTCTGTTGATATTGCGGCTGTCTTTTTGCACTAACTGGGTGATTTCACACTTTTACTGTGAACTCACTCAGGCCCTCGCTATTGCCTGCTCGGACACACTCATCAATCACATCCTGCTGTATACAGTGACTGGCCTTCTTGGAATTGTCCCCTTCTCAGGGATTCTTTTCTCCTATATTCGAATTGTCTCCTCCATCCTGAGAATCCCATCAGCAGATGGGAAATATAAAGCATTTTCTACCTGTGGGTCCCACCTGTCTGTGGTTTCTTTATTCTACGGGACAGGCCTTGGTGTGTATCTCAGTTCTGATGCACCTTCCTGGAGGGGCATGATTGCCTCCGTGATGTACACTGTGATCNGCATGATTGCCTCCGTGATGTATACTGTGATCACCCCAATGCTGAACCCCTTCATCTATAGCCTGCGGAACAGGGACATCAAGAGGGCCCTACAAAAAGTTCTTGGAACACTTGTCCTGGGGTTTTAAGCTGATAGTGGTAGCAGCAGTTGGCTAAAGAAATCCCACCTCTTAATCACATTGGATTTTGCTTCTCATTCGTTCTTTGTANTTTTTTGGTTATTTATTTATTGATTCACTTATTCATTTATTTATTATTACTATTGTCTGTGAATTAGAAATGACT